TGCACTAGGGCCCCATCTGTTGGTGCAGGCTTAATTACAGATTGCTCTCGTTTATTGCTGGGATCTAAGCGACTTCCGAAATCCAGCGGCCACTGCCATAGTCGTGGCCGCGTCATTCCCCGGCGTGCCGTTGCCTCTTGTTTCGTCGACACCGAAGATCAAAATGCCGTCGAACTTGGCCGTCGCTTCCTTCCCTCCGCCAAAGTTCTCGTCGCAACACAGTAAACACCCGCGGTGTTCATCTTCTTGGTTCTTTCGGTAAAGTCACGTAGAATTGAAATAATAAAATAATAAAAATAAAACATAATAAAATAATAATAAATAATAATACATAATAATACGTAATAATAAAATCATAATAATAGGTCTGTCGAAGAGACAGAGACTCTGTATCCTCGACAGACCTGTTCTCCACCTGAGGACGGCTACTTGCGTTGTGGCCGAAACGTCGTGAGAATTATTTTATTATGTTTTATTTTTATTATTTTATTATTTCAATTCTACGTGACTTTACCGAAAGAACCAATAAGATGAATCCCTGCAGTCACGAAAGCTTTAAATCGAAATTTACCCGCGGTGTTCTTCACATATCTCTCTTACAATGGCATCACCACCACCACCACCATTGTCTTGGCTCTTGGTCTTTTCCTTGGCCGCTGGCCGCTGACCTCTGGGTGCCATTTCAATCTCCGATTCTGTTTCTGTGACCTGCCCTCCTCCACCCCGCACGCGCGTATCCGACCCATCGCTACCGCACCGTGAGAACTCCACCCACGGCGCCTTCTTTGCCACATTCTCTTCTGAGCCCTGTGAGCCGCTGATTCGACATTCATAGGTGCTCGCGAACATCATTGTTGCCCAGTTTAACACATTGTAAATGTTGTGGTTTCACGCTTCAACACACCGATGGGCTAAAGCAGTGAACTATTTGTCTTTTGTCAACGTGACACTTTTTTACTGATTGGCCGTGTCGGGTGGTGGAGGGTTACGACACATTTATAAATAACGCGATCTAAACCCAAAAACGTTGATTATGAATCATTGTTACCCATGATAATTGACTACCAATTATTCCCCAATCTACCGGGCATCTGTGAACACTACCGGACAGCTGTGAAAACGGGCTTCATAGCTCATCGGATTCCTCCAGTATTGGTAGATATTTTGATGATGAATTTCCCCAAGCAATGCCCTAACTCGTGAGGTCTCGCTCGCTCAGGTCTCGCCGGAGTCGAATTTGATGAACGAGCCTAGGTGGCCACGCGGGTTTGCCAGGGTGGCGCCACTCAGCACTGACAGCACCCTGACACCACCTGCCCACCCACCAACCCCTCTCGTATTCCCGGTGAGATTTTCTCTCCAGGCCCTCGGCTTTCCAAACTCTCAGTGGTCGATTTGGGTCAAACATCCCAATGAGGGGTTCTTTTTTTTTTTAAAAAAAGGAGGGTAATTGAGGCTCGGTGAGGCTTTGCTGAGTAAATAAAGGTCGTTATTAATAAGTAATGGCCACTATTTACTTGATTGTCAATTGTTTTCCAATTTCGCAAACGGCGTCGTGTTGTCATTGGGGGCATACTGGAAGTGTCCTTCAGGAGGCTCTCGCGGTGAGCAGGGAGGTGACGTCCCAAAGCTGTGTTTATCTCATACTCTTAGTTCTTTCGGTAAAGTCACGTAGGTAAAACATAAAATTAAAATTAATAAAAATAAAACAATGAATGAATTTACCCACCCAGCAGTATAACAAAAGCAGTAATTGACCACTTCCCAACTCCTCCTCCCCCGCTGCCCTTCCTGGCTGCTCCCCCCTTAACCACTATATAAGGTACAGATAGTTTGCTGTGACGGTTTCACCTGAAGACGGAAGCTTGTGTTGTCTCCGAAACGTCGTGATTTTTATTGTTTTATTTTTTATTAATTTTTATTTCATTTTTTACCTACGTGACTTTACCGAAAGAACTAAGAGTATGGATCCTTGCAGTCACGAAAGCTTCAAATCTGTTTTTATCTTCTTCACACTCGAGAACGCGTCTTTATTTATATGACCTGCAAAAAACGTTTGTCACATCGCAGCCAAATATATTCTCTTTGATTGTCAGAGGAGGAGAAAAAATAAGACGAATTATGTGACACATCTAATTTTATACGATAGAATCGTTTTAAGTTGTGTGTGTGTAGTAGTAGTTAGTGACCGGAAAGAGACCATCACCTCTCCACAATCGAGAAACCGATCTCACCGCGGTCGAGCCGGATTCAAACTCAGGTGCTCGGCGTTGCCGTCTCATTCGGGCACGGACAATTATGGCCTCCCTGAGCAGCCTGCAATTTTAAAATTATTTATATAACGAAGAAATTCAGCAGAATTCCACGCGAAATTAAATCGGACGTTTAAGGAACGATCGCCAAAACGTGAATCTGGCGGGCCGTGCTGTTGGCTAACACAAACCTCATCATCCCAAGTGCTCCGTCCTCCCCCAGCCCTCCTCCACCTCGCCCCCGCTAAACCCAACCACCACCTCTCATTGTTGCACCCCGCCGCTCCGTCCTGCCCCCCCCCCCCTCTTCCAAAGCTCTAAATCATGGTCCTGCCGCTCCACACAATCATAATTTGAGGAGCGCGTGTCGGGAGAGTGAGCTAATTCCATGTAGCCGTTTCGCGTTTACATGCATCGAGAGCCCTTTGCCAAAGGCACGAGATTTGCGTGATCGAGACGCAAGACGGTGGATGGGTTGGGGTGGTGGACGGAATTGGTGGATCGCGTCGCGATCGAGTGTCTGGCGTGACGAGAGTCGTCCTTGCTGTGGCTGGTGCTTGTGCTGCTATTGAGTTGTTGTTGTTTTACGAGGTATACCTTACCCAGGAAAGCCTCACTCAGTCTCTTTATTAATGCTAACCCTACTTACTCCCTTTGATGCTGCTAATCATGCATAATGAACGGGTATAATATGACTTTGAAACCCCCCGCCCACCTACTACGCATTCCACAAGTAGTGACTAATCCCATATCTGCATTTTCCATAAATATTCGAAAGTCCTCTTGATATGCAAATTATTTTGTCAAGGCGCTCTTCTCCCTCCAACCCAGCTTAAATATACGCTGCCAAGCCTGGTGGTGTTCATTCAGACGCTGTCTTTCCGACAGACCTGTTCTTCACCTGAGGACGGCTGCTTGCGTTGTGGCCGAAACGTCGTGAGAATTATTTATAATGTTTAATTTTTATTATTTTATTATTTCCCTTCTACGTGACTTTACCGAAAGAACCAAGAAGATCAGTCTCGTGATTTATTTTTTTGCAGCTTGGAGTGTCCTTCCAAGCTGTCGCATTTCGAGGGAGGGGGGGAGGTGGGGGCGACGATTGCCATGTGCTGTATCTTCACACGGAGTGACTTGCGGGTAATTTAAAAAATAAAAATTGTTTGCATCCAATTTGTTGGGCCGGGCAGTGGGGTAAGACAATCGTTCATCAACCCGCAGCGACCCGCGCTGATGTTTACCCACTGCGCTGGTAACGGATTTCATGCCGAGTAGACCTAGGGAAGTTCCCTGTAGGCAAGTTCTGCTGCAAAGGCTGTGTCCAGGCTAGATTCAGGTACCCGCTTGCTACTGGGCCCCTATCTTGAACCCAAATCCGTCCATACGTGCTTATACACACTGCATGTATGCATACATGCATATAGAGTACAGTATGCAATTGCACACATCTATATGAACACATATACACCAGGGATGTGTTCCAGATTCCCGTGGTAATCTGGCCTTGATATATAAAAAAAAAAGTCGTGACCTTTCTGATGTAATTGCCTGTTTAGGATTTGTCCGAAAACGTGAGGACGCACTGGACGTCACTTTGTTTTTTCCAAGTTACTAAAAATATGAAAACCGTTAATTCTAGATTTGAAGCTTTCGTGACTGCAAGGATTCATATTTTTAGGTTTTTTCGGTAAAGTCACACACGACAACGTAGGTACCTACGTGACTTTACCGAAAAAACCTAACAATATGAAAACCGTTGTCGTACAATTACAATTAAAATGTGAACATTGTTCATAACATGTGAAAGTTGTTAAAGGGTTAATAACGCTGAAATCTGAAAATGTGAAAAAATACAATCTTAAATTATGCCTCAAACATCCCTAACACATACAAAACCACACCAAGACAAAGATCCCCCGTATAGCCTTAACAGACTGTTGGGGCAAGTGCTGTTAGCGAATAGCACCTATGAAGGCCGGCACGGCACACGTGGGGATGGGTGGCCAGGACCACGCCCGGCCGCCTTTGTCTTCCTAGTGGCGATGTTTACACACTGCACCAGCTACTCATTTGAGGCTGAGTCGACCTACGGGATGACCATGATCGGTCCAGATAATCGTCACCGGTGTTAGCCGTGGAGTCGAACCCGAGCTGCCGGGTTCGTAGCGCAGCACCCTAACCGTTACACAACCGCTCCCCACAACTCAACACACGCACACACCCTGCACACACACACACATTGCAGACACAGACACACCCTGCACACACTCCCTGCACACACACCCTGCACACACACACCCTGCACACACACACCCTACACACACCCTGCACACACACACCCTACATACACACACCCTGCACACACACACCCCACACACACACACCCTACACACACACACACCCTACACACATACACCCTACATACACACACGCACCCTACATACACACACACACACCCTACACACACACCCTACACACACCCCTACACACACCCTACACACACACACCCTACACACACACACCCTACACACACACACCCTACACACACACACCCTACACACACACACAGTCCCCACTATTCCTCCATCCGTGCCACCCCTCCGCCCCCGCGGCCTTCCCCCCTCCCCCCATCTCCCCGCCCGCTCCCCCCTCCCCAGGACCCCTCCACCCTCCCCTCGCAGTGACTCCCGCACTGAGGAGCAGGAGGAGGGAGGAAGAGGGAGAAGGAGGAGGAAGAGGGGGAAGAGGGAGAGAGGGAAGGGAGGGGGAAGTGCTTTCCATCGCGACTGCTCAAGACGCGGTCGCATTCCGGCACGCGGCTCTCCCGGCAAGGTGGGCAGAGAGAGGGGGGGGGGTTCATTTTGATGATGATGATGATGATGTTGTTGTTGGTGATGATGATGATGTTGGTGATGGTGTTCATCGTGTTGCTTCGCACCTCTATAGACAGGGCCGGCGCAGTGGCAGGCGGTGTATGTCGTGCTCCGGACGTTATTTGTATTCTGTTGGGATGATGATGATGATGCTGCTGCTGCGGAGGTGATGATGATGTAGGGGTGATGATAATGATGCTGCAGCGATGATGATGATGATGATATTGATGGTGAAGCTGCAACGGGTTTGATGGTGATACTGCAGGGGTGTTGATGCTGCTGTGCTGGTGGTGGTGGTGCAGGGATTATGTCGATTTGATGATCCAGGGATGATGTTGTCGTGGTGATGATGTAGGGATGATGGTTCTGTCGTGGTGAAGGTGATGCAGTGGGGATGCACGGATTATGATGTCGGAATGATGTTATATGAATAATTATGTAGGGGTGATGATGTTGATGTAGGAATGACGCTGAAAAGTGATGGTGTAGGGGAGGTGCTGTCGAGGTTATGATGATGTCGTGGCGATGGTGATGATCTCGTGATCGTGTTGATGGTGTAGAGTTGATGGTGTGCAGTATTAAAGTATCGTTGCACGGGATGTAGAGTGATGCTGTAGGGATAATCATGATGATGGTAAAGAAGGGGTGATGATGATGTACGGATGACGCTGTGGAGAGCGTGATGGTAATGGATGATGATGATGGTGATTATATGTTCCATCGCGTTAGCGCACATAGCTTTTAGCTGAAGTTGGTACGAGCTTCTTGGTTCTTTCGGTAAAGTCACGTAGAAGGGAAGTAATAAAATAATAAAATGTACAAAAAAAGATGTACAAAATAATAAAAATTGGTACGAGCTGTGTTGATGGTGTTGGATGATGGTGATGTGGGAGGTGGTTGTTGTTGTTGCGGTGGTGGTGCTGTTTGTGGTGTGCGTGGCTGGTGGTGGTGGTGATGTTGATTTATAGTGGTGATGCTGGTGGTGGAAGTTGTGGTGGTGGTGGGGGCGATGTTGTTGGTGGTGATGGTCGTGGCAGTCGTGGTGATGTTGATGATGGTGGTGATGGGGAGGCGATTATTGTTGTTGTTATATTTAAAGTTGGTGGTGGTTGTGTGGTGGTGGTAGTGGTGGATGTTGTGATGGTGCTGAACAGTGTGGTGGAGATGGGTGGCGAGTGATTATGGATGCGATGGATGGAAGTTTCTGTTGTGGTGATTGTGTTTTTTGGCGGTTCTGACGGTGGTGATGTCAATTCTGGTTGCGATGGGTGGCAGCGGTTGTGGTGGTGGTGGTGGTTGTGGTGAAGCTGGTTGAAATGGTCGTGACGGTGGCAATCGTGGTGATGTCCTGGTGGTGGTGGTGATGATGGGGGGTTGTTGTTGTTGTCGTAGCGTCGATGGTGGTGATTGTAAAGTTGGCGTTTGTTTTGTTCGTTGTGGTAGTGGTGGAAAGTGATGATGTTGATTGTGATGGTGGTGGTGGCAGTGACGGTGATGTTGATGTACAGCCGTGATGTTGATCGTGGTGGTGGCGGTGGTGGCGATGTTAGTGATGGGTGGCAGCTGTTATTATGGGGTGGTTGTGGTGATCTTGGTTGGTGGCAGTTCGAGTGTTGTTGCAGTGGTGGTGGTGGAATTTATCGTGGCGATATCGATGTGCAGGTGAAGTTGTTTCGGTCGTGGTGGTGGGATGATGATGATGGTGCTGGTAGTGGTGGTTGTGTTACTGGTGGTGATGGTGGTGGTTAGTGTGGTGTAACACGATGTTTGTAGCGTTGTTGTTGTTATTATTGGTGATGGTTTTTACGTTGGCTGTGGTGGTTGGTGGTGGTGGTTGGTGGTGGTGGTAGTTGGTAGTGGTGTTGGGGGAGCGGTAGTGCAGTGGTTAGCGCAGCGGATCAATGAACCCGGCGACCCGAGTTCGATTCCCACTCACGGCCACCAACAACGCCAGTGGCGATTATCTGAACCGGTCGTGGGCCTCCCCTAGGTCGACTCAGCCTCTAATGAGTAGCTGGTGCGGGGTGTAAACATCGCCACCAGGGAGACAAAGGCGGCCGGGCGTGTTGCTGAACACCACCCCTAATAATAATGAAGGCCGTACCAGCCCTCATGAATAGGTGCTCGCAAACAGCACTTGCCCTAACAGTCTGGTAAATGCTGTGGTGGTGGGGGTGGTGGGGGTAGTGGTGGGGGGTGGTGGTGGTGGTGGTGGAAGGGGTGCTGGTGGTGGTGGTAGGGGTGATGGGGGTGGTGGTGTGGGTGGTGGTAGGGGTGATGGGGGTGGTGGTGGGGGTGGTGGTGGTGGGGGTGATGGGGGTGGTGGTGGGGGTGATGGGGGTGGTGGTGGGGGTGGTGGTGGGGGTGATGGGGGTGGTGGTGGGGGTGGTGGTGGGGGTGGTGGTGGGGGTGGTGGTGGGGGTGGTGGTCTACAATGCTGTGGTGGTGGTGGTGTACAATGCTGTGTGGTGGTGGTGACCGCTGTTTATTGCTGCTCTTACAGTGGCTATGGAAGCAGCAGCAGCAGCGGCGTGAGAGACGAGAGGCATGGCTGGGTGCTTGATGGTTGTTGCCCCTTGCTGATGCGGCATCCCCCCCCTCTCTCCACCAGCAGCAGCAGCAGCAAGCCGCTCGCTGTCGCATAAACACTGCAGATTCCCTCCGTGATGATGTCTCATAGCTCAGCCACTCTCTCTCTGCCTCTCTCCCTGGTTGCCTCTCTCTTATCCCAGTCCCCCTCTCCTATCCTGCTCACCCCCCCCCCCGTCCCTCTGTCCGCTGCACCCAATCTCTCTCCCCCGTCTCTCTCCTAGTCTCTCTCTCTCTCTTATCATCCTCCCCTCTCTCTCTCTTCACTGCCCTCCTCTTTTCTCTTCTCATCCTCTTTCTCTCCTCTCATATCTGAACCCCTCCGATCTCCTCCCCATCTGGTGGCCCCACCTCTCCGCTCCACTCTCCTTCACCCTCCTCAGCTGTCACTTTCCTGCCACTCTCCACTCCTTTCCTCTCTCCACTCATTTTTTTGACGATCAGAGGAAACAAAAAGATGCTTGGCGTAGTCGGCACTTGGCTTCGTTCATCATTCAGTTTTTTTTTTCCAATGATTTGCTTTATGTCTTCCCCCCCCCCCCCCCGTTTAAATGAAAGATTTCACGAAATATTTCCTTCTTACCCCCCCCCCTCTCTACCCCCCCCCCCTCTCTCTCTCGACCCCCTCTCTCTCTCTCTACCCCCCCTCTCTCTACCCCCCTCTCTCTCTCTACCCCCTCTCTCTACCCCCTTCTCTCTCTACCCCCCTCTCTCTCTACCCCCCCCCCCCTCTCTCTCTACCCCCCTCCCCCCTCTCTCTCTCTACCCCCCCTCTCTCTACCCCCCTCTCTCTCTACCCCCTCTCTCTACCCCCTTCTCTCTCTACCCCCCTCTCTCTACCCCCCCCTCTCTCTCTACCCCCCCCCCTCTCTCTCTACCCCCTCTCTCTACCCCCCTCTCTCTCTCTACCCCCCCTCTCTCTCTACCCCCCCCCCTCTCTCTCTACCCCCTCTCTCTACCCCCTCTCTCTCTCTACCCCCCCTCTCTCTACCCCCCTCTCTCTCTACCCCCACCTCTCTCTCTACCCCCCCTCTCTCTAACCCCCCCTCTCTCTCTATCCCCCCCCCTCTCTCTCTACCCCCCCCCTCTCTCTACCCCCCCCTCTCTACTCCCCCCTCTCTCTACCCCCCTCTCTCTCTACCCCACCTCTCTCTCTACCCCCCCCTCTCTCTAACCCCCCCTCTCTCTCTATCCCCCCCCCCTCTCTCTCTACCCCCCCTCTCTCTACCCCCCCCCCTCTCTACCCCCCCTCTCTCTACCCCCCTCTCTCTCTACCCCACCTCTCTCTCTACCCCCCCTCTCTCTAACCCCCCCTCTCTCTCTATCCCCCCCCCCCCCTCTCTCTCTACCCCCCCCCCCCCTCTCTCTACCCCCCTCTCTACCCCCCCTCTCTCCCCTCACCTCTCTCTCTACCCCCTCTCTCTCTACCCCCCATCTACCCCCCCTCTCTCTCTACCCCCCCCCCCTCTCTCTCTACCCCCCCCCCCTCTCTCTCTACCCTCCCCCTCTCTCTCCCCTCACCTGACTCTCTCTCCCTCCCCCTGCTCCTCGCCGCTCCCTCCTTTTTGTTTGCTTTCGAGACATCAAAATCCACTTGTATTTTGATGTCTCGAGAACCTCGTTCAGTCGATCAGCGAGACTCCCCCAGCTGCCTCGCCGTGGCGCACAAACACAAACACAGAGCACGCGCGGTCCAGGTGTCGGCTTCTCGTTGCTTTGCCGTGTATTCTCCCACCCCACCACCACCACCACCCCCCATTTCTCTCTCTCTCTTCATTTACCTCTCTCCTCGCTTCCCTCCTCCCCACTTGGCGACAGCGATAATGACGCACACGCGCAGCACCGTTATGTCTATCCACTGCTGGATGAGGTGGGGTCACCCCCCCCTCCCCTCACCGTGCCTGCGTGGATCGACCATACCTCACCGCTCCGGTCCGTGTGCGTTGGTGAAAGCGGCGGGGGGGAGGGGGGAGAATATAAGTTGGAGCATTGCACGGTGCAGCAATGGGACAGTGATAGTATTGTCGTGAATTTATAACAAAAAAATTAACAATAATTTATGAATGTACCTACTCGGATTATAGCAATACTGAGTCTATGATGTGTGTAGATGAAGGCATAGAGCTTGAACAGGAGTCGAACATTAACTCTCAACCCCGTGGGCAGACGCAACGGCTGCAGGAGCTGAAGCGACAGAGACTCAAGAAGCAGCGGCGGCGGCAGCGGCATAAATTCCACCAACACAAATACCGGCATCAGTAACAGCATGGTCGTGAGCAATAACACCATCAGCAGCAGCAGCTAGTATCCTCGGCAGATTGTAGCATCGTCACTTTCATTGTCGTTATCATCATCATCGTCATCGTTGTCGTCATGATCGTCATCGCAAGCAGCAACAGCAAGCAATCGTAGGTAGCAAAGACGTCGTCAGCAGCAGTGGCGTCGTTATCGATCACAACAGTATCAGTGCCAACGGCATCCTCGCCACCACCAACAACATCATCATTATCAAGAGCATTAGCAGTATCACCATCATGAGTTGTAAGTAGCATCGGCGGTATCACTATCACAAGCATCATTGGCGAGCGTCACCATCCTCTGTAACTTCAGCATCAGCCTAATCGTTATCAGCAGCAGCAGCATCACTATCATAAGCAGATGCTTCATCATCAACATCATCATCATCATCCTTATTAGATGTAACATCACCACAATTAACACCACGGTCACCACTACCACTGGCATCGACACCACCATCACCAGCGCGACCAACGCCGCTGCCACCACCACCGCCGCTGCCGCCACCACCACCACCACCGCCAACATCGCCACCGCTGCCACCACCACCACCGCCAACATCGCCACCACCACCAACATCGCCACCACCGCCGCCACTGCCGCCACCACCACCACCACCAACATCGCCACCACCGCCGCCGCTGCCACCACCACCACCGCCAACATCGCCACCACCACCACCAACATCGCCACCACCGCCGCCACTGCCGCCACCACCAACATCGCCACCACCGCCGCCGCTGCCACCACCACCACCGCCAACATCGCCACCACCGCCGCCACCATCACCGCCGCCGCCACCACTGCCACCACCGCCACCGCCGCACCATGCCGGAGCAAAGCAACGACTACCGCGTGGTGGTGTTTGGCGCCGGCGGCGTGGGCAAGAGCTCGCTGGTGCTGCGCTTCGTGCGCGGAACATTCCGCGAGAGCTACATCCCCACGGTGGAGGACACCTACCGCCAGGTATTCGCTCCGCGAAGCCGTCAGGCCGCTTGGAATACAACAAATCTAAAACTATGAAACTAAACTCACGAACTGTTTTTTTTTTGTTTTAGCAGGTAAGGCACACTGAGCTATACTGTAACGTTTTTTTTTTGTTTTTAGAAGCGACCTGGCCACAATTGATAGCTCAACGAAGTGGCTTGTCGCCGCGTGGAAATTTAGAGCAGCCCAAACACTCTGAACGCGTGACGTTGATTCTAAATGTCGAGGGGAAAACCGGAGGACCCCGGACATGAAGCCCCATAGACTGCATAGAAAATCACAGACTCGCATAGAAACCCACAGACTGGCATATCGACCTGTATGCTCGCATGTAAATCCATAAACACACGAAGAGCCCCATAGGCTCACACGTAGAGAGCCATATACTCACATAGTGAACCACGGACTTGCATAAACACCCGTAGGCTCGCATAGAGATCCATAAACACACATAGAGACTCATAGGCTCACGCGTGGATCCACGTACTCGCACAGAGATCCATAAACACACGTAGAATGACAGATGCACACAGACCCATCGGCGTACATAGAAACCCACAGGCTTGCAAGTAGACCCATATTGTGGCAGGCACTCGCACAGAGATCCTCGTTCCAATTCGGTGAAGACTGCCTCCGCCGCGGACGTCGCGGGCAGCGATTCTCGCGGCGGAAGGACGGACGAGACCAACGGTTGCTCGCTCTGCCCACCCACCCCCTGCCCCCACCCCTCCGGCAGGTGATCAGCTGCGACAAGAGCATCTGCACGCTGCAGATCACCGACACGACGGGCTCGCACCAGTTCCCCGCCATGCAGCGGCTGTCGATCTCGCGGGGCCACGCGTTCGTGCTGGTCTACTCGATCGCGAGCCGCCAGTCGCTGGAGGAGCTGAGGCCCATCTACGAGGTGATCTGCTCGCTCAAGGGCGACACGGAGGCCGTGCCCATCATGCTGGTGGGCAACAAGTGCGACGAGACGACCCGCGAGGTGCAGACGACGGAGGGCGAAGCGCAGGCCAAGGCCTGGAGGTGCGCCTTCATGGAGACGTCGGCCAAGATGGACTACAACGTGCGCGAGCTCTTCCAGGAGCTGCTCAACCTGGAGAAGAGGAGGAACGTGAGCCTCCACGTGGAGGGCAAGAAGTCGCGCGCGGAGGGTGGCAAGAAGGAGAGGATGAAGGGAAAGTGCGTGGTCATGTAAGAGGGGATGGGGAAGACGACGACGATGATGAGAAGAATAATGGCCAAATTACTTTGATGAAGAGGTAGAACTTTGATGATGATGATGATGATAGGAATGTCCAAATGATGACCGTAAGGAAATTCTCATTATACGGAGGATGACAATGGCACATTTGTAGCAGAGGAAAACCGGTGGACAGAACTTAGTGATTGAAGGTGGTCAAGAGGGATTCTTTTAATTTAATATTTTATTATTGTTGTTGTTGTTGTGCTTGTTTGTCCACATTTTTGGTTATTTTTAAACAACTGAACACATTGAGATGTGCCCCATCTTCAGCAAAGGACTTTGAAAACAAACGGTCGATGTGCAATATTGGATATTTATACGGCTTAAAAGGACATCGGTTCTTTTTGTGTTTAGTTTAGTGCTCTAACAGTGAGAGGGATCTCATGTGAGGCTTCTACAGGACGGGCCCGTTGGGTTCACCACCTCGAAGCCTCCGACCTCGTGGGTTCAGTTCCCCTCCCACACGGGGTGGTCCCCAAGCTGCCCGCGTGTTCATCGCGTGAGCGTCGCTCCCCACGCAGCGCTGCACGCTTCGGCGTCAACATCGACACCATCATCACCATTGTCATCATTAACATGACCCCTGCCATCGTTATTTCCACTGCCATAATCATCACATCCATCGTCGTAACATCATCAGTTAGTATAACCTCCATCGTCAACATCACCACGATCATATGCAGGGCCGTGATCATCATCATTTCCGTCAACGTCACCATCACCGTCGTCGTCGTCACCACTGCCATGATCAACATCACCGCCATCATCATCATCACCATCTCTCCTGGACACAGACACACGTGCCTGCAGGACCACCTCGAGAGATTTGGGCTCGGCAGCAACGAGCGATCGATTGATGCGGTCGGCAGGGAGTGTAACCCATTGCTTTTTCGGTTTGGTTTGGGTGAAACCCAAAACCAATTGAAGCGGTCACAATTCAACAGGTTCAAGATAGACTCTCACGGGTTGATTCCGGTTTTACCGATTTAAAACAAATAATAGTTTCAGCTGTTTCAGTTTACAAAGTGTGGGTTAGTGCATTCGACGTTGTACATAATCTCATCTGATTCGTAGAGTCCCTTCACTCAAGGCGCTTGACGCCACTTACCAAACGATGACAGGACGATGTAGTTGGCAGGCGTGTGAGGAGGCATGAGCGGCAGCGATGGAGGGGTACTTCGGGATCACCAAAGGGTAGGGGAGGGACGGGAAGTAGTGGAGTGTTGAGTCTATGGTGCAGTGTTGAGTCTATGGGCAGTGTTGAGTCTATGGTGCAGTGTTGAGTCTATGGTGCAGTGTTGAGTCTATAGTGCAGTGTTCAGTCTATGGTGCAGTTTTGAGACTACGGGCAGTGTTGAGTCTATGGTAGTGTTGAGTCTATGGGCAGTGTTGAGTCTATGGGCAGTGTTGAGTCTATCGTGCAGTATTGAGTCTATGGTGCAGTTTTGAGACTACGGGCAGTGTTGAGTCTATGGTAGTGTTGAGTCTATGGTAGTGTTGAGTCTATGGGCAGTGTTGAGTCTATGGGCAGTGTTGAGTCTATGGTGCAGTGTTGAGTCTATGGGCAGTGTTGAGTCTATGGGCAGTGTTGAGTCTATGGGCAGTGTTGGGTCTATGGGCAGTGTTGAGTCTATGGTGCAGTGTTGGGTCTATGGGCAGTATTGAGTCTGGGCAGTGTTGAGTCTATGGGCAGTGTTGAGTCTATGGTAGTGTTGAGTCTATGGGCAGTGTTGAGTCTATGGGCAGTTTTGAGTCTATGGTGCAGTGTTGAGTCTATGGGCAGTGTTGAGTCTATGGTAGTGTTGAGTCTATGGGCAGTGTTGAGTCTATGGGCAGTGTTGAGTCTATGGTGCAGTGTTTAGTCTATGGGCAGTGTTGAGTCTATGGGCAGTGTTGAGTCTATGGGCAGTGTTGGGTCTATGGGCAGTGTTGAGTCTATGGTGCAGTGTTGGGTATATGGGCAGTGTTGGGTCTATGGTGCAGTGTTGGGTCTATGGGCAGTGTTGAGTCTATGGGCAGTGTTGAGTCTATGGGCAGTGTTGAGTCTATGGTGCAGTGTTGAGTCTATGGTAGTTTTGAGTCTATGGGCAGTTTTGAGTCTATGGTGCAGTGTTGAGTCTATGGTGCAGTGTGATTCAATGTCGAGGGGAGGTTAATTCCAGTGGAGGGGTGCATGGAGTCAGAATGACCGAAACAGGATTTGGCAGTGTGTTATCCCCAGTTAATGCGCATGCCATAAGTTTCCCTTTTTAAATATCGAAATTATTATTGACTCCAGTGTGACCTTGCATTCCAATCACCAAAAATTCATAATTTTGCACAGGGTCAACACAGCAGGGATAATTACTTGGATTCAATTCCAGTGCCTGTGTTTATCTCCCTGGTGTCTGGAATTTGGTGATTTGGTCTGTAAGTATGTTGGACTTCTTTTGCACCGTACGTAGCCAACTGTGCTAATCGGAGGTGGTCGAGGGCTTAGTAAAAGTAATAATGCAACCAATTACAATTACAATAGGGATGTATTGTCGTGGGCAGAGAGCAAGAGAGCTCCCCAATTTAAGATCTTTACTTTGAATCCCTGCAAGGGTTAACTGGGCTCCATCATCACCATTACCATCATCATCATCACCATCATCACCATCATTACCATCATCACCATCATCACCATAATCACCATCATCACCATCATCATCACCATCATCATCTCTGCAGAGTCGATCAACTACAGGACCACAACGTGAGTCTGACACCACTCGGTGTGGCAAGTGAACGGCGATCACCGTGCCGAGGTCAGGTACATCCGTAATTGGCACGGAATGTCCACCGACGGCTGTCGGATGATGAACGTATGACACATTTGAAGTCCGGGGGTTGGGGGGGGACGACGACACTTCGGTTGAAGAAGTGATTGAGTTGTTTATTTTCTATGTGGAATCGCACCCTTGTGTATTCTCGAGGGGGAAACACGTGGATCTGATTGTTTTGTATTGCATCACAAAGCCCACGATGGTTACTATGACTACTGCTGATGACGACGACGATGACAAATGTCTGGCCAATCGCTCCCAGCCCTTGCACGTGATGTCACCCCCTCCGATATTGTGTAAATCCAGAGCACGTGTTGAGAGACATATACCCCCCATGTATGCCGGTCTCTTATCACCACACGTGTCCCCATCTTTATAACTCCCGTCTACCGCTGCCGCCACTCACGGGGGTTGGGTGGGCAACTTTAAAGTCCCGGGCGTGGCAGCACGTGGCTCACGGAAGGCGTTGTAGGTGTAACGAGGTCGCGACGGAGGAGGGCAGACTGAAGCCACGTGATGCTGATGATGAGACGAAGAGAGTCCTTGAAGGACAAGGCTGTGTAGCAAGGGGAAGACCTCGTGGTGGTGGTGGTGATGTTGGGTATTGAGGAAAAGTCACGTCGGTAAAAAGAAATAATACAATTAATAAAATGATAATATAAATAAAATTGTGATTTATTATTTTATTTTGTATTATTTTTATTATTTATTTTTATTTTTACCTACGTGACTTTACCGAAAAAAACCTAAGAGTATGAATCCTTGCAGTCACGAAAGCTTCAAATCTAGAATTAGGGGTAATGAGCTTGCAACAACGTTGAGTTCTAGCAGAAGGAAGGAAGCGATGGCGAGATGAGGTGGCATCGACTCCTGACCGTGGCCACGCTACTTGCATGTTGCATTGGTATATATTTTTTTTCTAGGGACATGATGACAACAACAACATCATCAATAATAATGACAACGATCATGATGTAAATAATTTATTTAGCCACACAGATTGTTTCCGGCCACATGTAAAATAAACACTCGTCATTAATTGGCCGAAAACATCTTGAAATACAAACCCAATGTAGCAGCAGAGGGACCCTCCTGCAAAAATAACAAGTAAATTATCGCATTGGAACCTCCTTTGTCAGTAGCAAAATATGATAATTGTTTTTTTACCCTTTTATCTGGCAACAAAACTGACACCTTTTTTACAAGGAGTCATGTTTGCATTGACCACAATACCTGCGGTCGGAATGCAAACAAAAAACACAACTCTGATCATGTATGCACTGTTCTTGAAATTGATTGGTCCACACCCGAGACAGCTTTCTTTAGAGCCTAGTCTCACATGGTGTTGGACCAGATGACGCCAAAAGGCGCACTTAAGAAAGCTGTTTCGGGTGTGGACCAATCAATTTCAAGGACAGTGCATACATTATCAGAGTTGTGTTTTTTTGTTTGCATTCCGACCGCAGGTATTGTGGTCAATGCAAACATGACTCCTTGTAAAAAAAGGTGTCAGTTTTGTTGCCAGATAAAAGGGTAAAGAAATTAACCCGTAAAAACAAAGTTTTTCACTATAAATCCTTTATATGCGTGGCGGCTAGAGTCCTCTCGTCCTCTGGCTTGAGATGGCTGCCACCTATGGGTCAGATTATTGCTTGGCACCATTAAGCAATTGGTAATTTCATATAATTTTTTGTTCCTAAAAAGTGTAAAATTTAGGAAAAAAATTTATTCACGAAAATTAATTGTCACGCACAACGAGTCTGTGTGGAAAATGTCAGCTCGATTGGATCACGGGAAGTGGGTTAAAAAACGACCGAAAAATTTGCACGGTCGTAAGCGCGCAAGCAAGCGAAATTAATATAAAGGATTTAAATAAAAAACGACCAAAAGATTTCCACGGTCGTAAGCGCGCAAGCAAGCAAGCAAGCGAACTTAATATAAAGGATTTCAAAAAAATAATGATCAGGTTCTGATTCCGCCAATGGCTACGTGTACGTATGTAGGTTGAACTTACTTCACACCGTACGTAGCCCTACCGTGCTAATCGGAGGTGCTTCTTCAAAGCACGTGCCGAGTCTCAAGACTCGTGCTCAGGAGGGTCATGCACTCGGATGTTTGGCCAATTACGATGGAAGTGAGTCTTCTCCTTTACACGCACACAGCCCCATTTGTACGTAACGGGGGGCGGGGGGGTGCAGTGGTAACTGTGACTGTGTTTGTTGCACGGGGAAGCACGTGGGCTGGTGTCTAACCTATACTCTGAAGCACGAGGCCTGTAACATACCCTCCCTGTATACTATCACCTTGTTTTGTACTCAGTGGGTGGGGGGGCTGACGTTTCATGCGACCGGTCCAAAATCAGGATGCAATGTACCGTAATGTGTGCTCTCTATTTAATGAATCAACTCTTGAGGAAGGAGAGGGTTGGGGAGCTGCATCATTATGTGATTCGTGTCTACTCCACACAGAATTAAACAAAATCCTCAAACAAGCCGCATACAGTTTTGCGCTCAATCCCATATACATTTATGGGAATCATAAATTCACGTGCATTTTTGGGATTATAAAATCCCATGTACATTTATGAGAACATAAAATCCCATACACATGGAGTACAAAAAAATCCCATATAGATGTATGGGATCTAACAATCCCATATACATTAATGTGGTCCTAGAATCCCATACACACTTATGGAATCATAAAATCCCATACACATTCATTGGATCATAAAATCCCAAGACATGATGTCATATAAAAAAAAAATCCCCACACTCGTGTTTGGAATCGGACTGCACCGTGTACATGTTATGGAGATCAGAAAACTCCTACGTGCGGTATTATTTATGGTATCGGACAACGCCGTGTGCATGTACGGGATCAATAAACCCACCGGGCACAATAACTCTGCACGCAGCAGTGGGGGAGCGATTGATACCGAAGCGTTCATGACGCCGAGAGTCACCAATCCCCCCACCGTTCCCTCTTCGGCGGCGGCGTCGGCGGCGATCCGGACCTCACGTTTCGCCGTCGGTTATTTCGAATGAAAATTCATTTCGTTTTTGGTCTCGGTGGTGTCGTGTCCGATTCGTACCCGCCCGTGCGATCTTGTGTGTGTGTGTCTTGTCTGTACGTCTGTCTCGGTTGCCTTGTCCCCATACTGCCCGTCTCGTTTAGTACCGCTCGGCTCCTCCTGTCTCTGTCTACATTTTGTTCTCTCTCTCTCCCGCGTCCCTCAGCTCCGCCCAGTTCGTCCCATGAGCCCAACAAGGGTCGCGTGTTGCGCCATCGATTTTGCGCAAATCGAGAACGAGCAGTCCTCGCACGCACGGTTCGTCGTGATTTATAAAGCGATTAATCGATGAAATCGCCGCATCCCGTAACACGCGGGCACAGGGGACGCACAAGCGCACACACTGTGCTGGTATTTATCATGTGCGCAGTGTGTGGGCGTATTTTGCATCAAATGACAAGTGGAAAATTAAAGACAGGCCACCCGAGTGCGTCTGTGGCCATGCAACCGAAACTGCGGACCGCGTCGTAAACCCAACTGCGATCTGCGCTCTTTCAACTGAGGAGGAGGAGGAACAGCGAAACGACACCAACTCTCTCTTCTCGCCGTGGCGAGCAGCAGCACCTCGACTTTGCCATCGAGCTCCTGGACCACGTTGCCCTGCGACGAACGTGCCGAGTTCCTGCCGATGCTTCAAGCGCAGTTTGCGAGCACCTATTAGGGCCGTCACAAGTGCGGAGAGGGGGTGGTGTGGCCAGCACCAGGCACGCACGGCCGCCTCTTTATATATGTTCCCCTAGCTAATGTTTGCACACCGCACCGAGTATTGTACTCAAGGCTGAGTCGACCTAGGGGATGCCCATGCCAGATTCAGAACCCAATTTGCCACCAACGATATGAATTGCATGGTTAGGAATTGAATCTGGGTGGATAGGGTCATCTGCATCGTATTAATGTTCATCTCTGTGTCACCCTGCATCATATATATAAATCAAACATAATATGAATGACAAACGTAACAATGTATTTTAACAATGTACATACAATATGAACGATCTTTCATTAAAAAATGTCAAAGACTGCGCTTAATTTGAATCCTTGCTCTGTGTGAATGTGTGTACAGAGTAGTACCCTATATGCCGGCTGAAGTGCGCTGAAGCTGTGACGATCGGTGATTTAAAGTCCAGGCGAAAACATTTACTTATCTCTTCTGCTTAGTTTCATTGAGTTTAGTTTTCTCATTACCATCAGCGCTTTCGTCTGAGCTTTGTTGCTGATTGTGGCGCGCATTATAAAAACATTTTAAATTGATGGATTGACCGTGTTAATGTTAAGTATACTCTTAGTTTTTTTCGGTAAAGTCACATAGGTAAAAAATAAAATTAAAAGTTAATAAAAGTAATAATTGAAATAAAATTAAATGTTAACTTTTCATTTTATTTTTTACCTACGTGACTTTACCGAAAAAACCTAAGAGTATGAATCCTTGCAGTCACGAAAGCCTCACTTGATGCAGCAAATCTGGCTGTGACGGTCCCACCTGATGACGGAGACTTGTGTTGCCCCTGAAACGTCGTGATTTTATTATTTTATTTTTATTAATTTTAATTTCATTTTTTACCTACGTGACTTTACCGAAAGAACTAAGAGTATGAAAGCTTCAAATCTAGAATTAATGTGAAGTGTCCGAACTGTTTATGAACTGATTATAGATTTGAAGTTTGATTTTTTTTATAAACTCCTTTCGTTCCCCCACAAGTCACGGTACAGAGTTCATTCAGTCATCTTCCACCTTCAGAGTCGAGCAGGGGCTGATTCTCACCAGGAGGAACCAGGGCCCTATGAATTGAATACGAATAATGATGATGGTGATCATCTATGACCTAGGTAATACAAAAACGAACATAAAAACCGCAAATGTCCATCATGATAATCTTATAGCAGCGGCTCTCAGTCAGAATCTTGTGACCCCCCCCCCCCCAATCAAAATCACTCCTCTCCACGCCCCTCACCCAGGCCCCCCACGAATAGCCCTTAAAACGTCTCGGTTTACATTCAACAGTTGTCCTGCACCGTCTCCACGCTGCAGCCTATACCCCCCGCACTCCCCAATACCCCCTCCTAACAAAAATAAGGACAAAGTCGTTGTACCCTAAGGATGTATAGATTCTGAAACGCCCTCCCCCTTCCCCAGCCGTCCAAGCTGTTGACTCCCTGTCCCCGCTCAAGTCTTAAACTCAAACCCCACGGTTTGAGTTTATTCTCTTGCCTCGCACGGCCGCTGATCTGATCTCACAAAGCAGCGCCCTTCGTTTTATCCAGCACCACCACCCTCCCTCCCCCCGCCTCAGAATAATCATGGGCATCGTTGTGTAGAATGCAAATAGGAAAATAAATAAGCGAACGACGTCTCCCTTCACGTAGCCGTCTTGATGAGACACAAAAGTACGTCCCACGCCTCCCGTCACGGCATTCTGAGAGCGCGTGTTCGTCAGCGGCGTCGATTTGAAAGACAACCCAAAACACACAAACTCTCTGTGAGCCGTTTCCACCACACAGTGTCTCATCAGCAGAGTCAGGGCATGTTCATTTGCCTCAGAGGTCGCAAACGGGTTTTGATTCCTTACCCGTACCCGGCCGCACCAGGGTCGCAATCGGGTACCCATACCCGTACCCTACCCGATACCCGGCTACCCGTACCCGGCCGGGTATCGGGTAGGGTACGGGTACCCGATTGCGACCTCTGGGATGAAGCCATGTTGCAGGCGCGGGTGGGTTGATTCTAGGAACTTGAATTGTGAGAAGAGACAAGACGTTGGGAAATGAGTGACGAACGGTTACTCACCAGTGACTCACGGCCTACCCGTACCCGTAGCCGGCCGGGTTCACGTTGAAAATGGCATCTGTGAGTCATCCGGGCCAAAGTACCCACCAAGACATCTCAATTGTTTGCGCACGATGTTTATTTTTGTATTTCTCTGAGTCGTCCATATTGCACGCGGCTCGCACACCCAGGTCCCTCTGCAATTCCACTCACCACAACGTCGCCTCCATCTGTGCGTGTGTGTGTGTGCGAGTGTGTGCGTGTGCGAGTGTGTGTGTGCGTGTGTGTGTGCGTGTATGTGTGTGTGTGTGCGCATGCGAGTGCGTGTATGTGTGTGTGTGAGTGTGTGCGTGCGAGTATGCGTGCAAGTGTGTGTGTGTACGTGGGTGTGTGTGCGTGTGTGTGTGCGCGTGCGAGTGTGTGTATGCGTGTGTGTGTGTATGCGTGTGTGTG